CCCAAAGACCATCACTGTGGGTCCATGTGGGGCCCAGAAGCTCCTCCTCACCTCATAAACGCCCCAGCCCCTGCATGACCTTGCCTGGAGGTGGGGGAGGGGGTGGCCTTAATGGATGAGGTGTTGCTGGTAAAGTGAAGAAGGCAAACAAGACTGGAGAAAGGAGGCCTGGGTACAGAAGGCATCTGAGAGCCCATCCATCAGCCGCCGTGAAGCAGGGCGCTTCTGGTCTGGTGAACCTGTCTGTGTGCAGGGGGTTAAGGTGGGGCACAAGGGCCGGGGGCTCCAGGTTTACCCTCAACAACTGATCTGTGACCAGTGTATCATGCCGCACTTATCAGACAGGTCCAGGGTCCGCTGTGTGTTCACAGCAAACTGTTTGATTGGCTACGGTCCAGAAACCACTGCTGCTGAACCAGCAACACCAAGCGCTCCCCGAGATGCTGAACTGCATGCAGGTACCGCAGGACTGAGGCCGGCCCCCCAGGCGGACTCACAGTCCCACCCGTGTGTCCCAGGGTCACGGACTCCAGTTGGGTTTTTGGCTGTAGAGGCAGCTGCCGGAATCGGGACACGCTGGGCGCTAACAGCTAATGCTCAGTGATTATTGTTAAAGTCTCAGAAAGGTAATGAGAAGCTAATGCAGAGAAACCTGATGAAATCCAATACCGGTCTAAGGTGGAGACAACGTGTTAAAAAGGAAACACGCACACACACTCATACACAGATACACACACACGCACTCATACACAGATACACATACATACACACACATTCATACACAGATACACACACACACACACACTCATTCATACACAGACACACACACACACATTCATACACAGACACACACACACATACACACACAGACACACACACACACTAATACTCGCTCATTCATACACAGACACACACACACTCATACACAGATACACACACACACACTCATACACAGACACACACACACACAGACACAAACACACACATTCATACACAGACACACACACACACATTCATACACACACAGACACAAACACACACTCATACTCGCTCATTCATACACAGACACACACACACACACATTCATACACAGACACACACACATTCATACACAGACACAGACACACACACATTCATACACAGACACACACACACACACACATTCATACACACACACACTCATACTCGCTCATTCATACACAGACACACACACACACACATTCATACACAGACACACACACACACACTCATACACACACACACATTCATACACAGACACACACACACACACTCATACACACACACACATTCATACACAGACACACACATACACACACACACACACTCCCACTCTGACTTCCCTGCCGCTTCCCAGTCTGCTAATCCATCTCCACGCTTCCGAGGGCCACTGTCACAGACCGATGCGCCTCCCCTGGGGTATTATGGGGGATTTGGGCGGTGGGGGGGTTCCTGAGCTCATGCCACCCCGCCATGGCATCCTGGCCGTTGGCAGTACAGCAGCAATACTGAAACATGCCCCCCCCCCCGCAGTACGTTTGTGTGTGTCACTGCCTCGCTCCCAGCCGCGGCGGGGGGCTCAGTCCGGGATTATCTGTGATTACAGCCAACGGGGAGGCTGAGGTGGGGGGGTGGGGAATGCCCTCAGCAGCTCATTCAAATTAGAGAAGCTGCATCTCAGGCAAGCATCCGGGTTTGTAATGATTAATGCTATTAGCAGTACATCACCCTGCCACTGGAGGTCCCTGTATTTAAGGGGTGAATGAGAGAGCCCCTCACCCCCAGCCTCACTGTCTGCTGCAGTGCACTGCGGAGCTGGGAATTAGCTTACACTTCTCCCTATAGGATGGTGGTGCTCTGCCCCTCCCCCTGGATCTGCTCCGTCCCAACAACATACTGTGGGTATTTTCAGGTGACCTTTTCGCTACAGATGCACAAGTTTTGGTAAACAACACATTAGAATTTGGTGATCAGTGGTCATTGTTGACACACCACAGCACACAGTGCACAACAACAAAGTGTCCTCTGCATTTAACCCACATGTGACATCGTGACATAGCAGGGGGCAGCTAATTCAGCACCCGGGGAGCAGTGCTTGGGGGCGGCACCTTGCTCAGGGTACCTCAGTGGTACCTTGCTGGTCGGAGACTCAAACCTGCAATCTTTCAATTACAAGTGCACTTCCCTAACCATTAAGCCACCACTGCCCATTCACACTACAACAGCAAAGGACAAAAAAAGAACACATTTTTAATCCTTAAGGTGTTTATAAACAGCTTAATCTTAATTTTAAAGGCGATTTGATCATGCAAACAATCATCACAGTGATTTACACTATATTGCCAGAAGTATTGGCACACGCCTCCAAATCATTGAATTCAGGTGTTCCAATCACTTCCATAGCCGCAGGTGTATAAAATCAAGCCCCTAGGCATGCAGACTGCTTCTACAAACATTTGTGAAGGAATGGGTCACTCTCAGGAGCTCGGTGAATTCAAGCGTGGTACCGTGATAGGATATGCCACCTGGGCAATAAGTCCATTCGTGAAATTTCCTCTACTAAATATTCCACAGTTAACTGTTAGTGGTATTATAACAAAGTGGAAGCAGCTGGAAACAACAGCAACTCGGCCACAAAGTGATAGGCCACGAAAAATCAGAGCAGGGACAACGCATGCTGAGGCGCACAGTGTACAGAAGTCGCCAACTGTCTGCAGAGTTAATAACCACAGACCTCCAAACTTCATGTGGCCTTCAGATTAGCTCAAGAACAGTGCATGGAGAACTTCATGGAATGGGTTTCCATGGCTGAGCAGCTGCATCCAAGCCTTACATCCCCAAGTGCAATGCAAAGCTTTGGATGCAGTGATGTAAAGCACAGCGCCACTGCACTCTAGAGCAGTGGAGACGTGTTCTCTGGAGTGACGAATCACACTTCTCTGTCTGGCAATCTGATGGATGAGTCTGGGTTTGGCAGTTTCCAGGAGAATGATACTTGCCTGACTGCTTTGTGCCAAGTGCAAAGTTTGGTTGGGGGGGGGGATTATGGTGTGGGGTTGTTTATCAGGGGTTGGGCTCTTAATGCTGCAGCATTTGAAGCCATTTTGGACAATTTCATGCTCTCACCTTTGTGGAACCAGTCTGCGGATGGCCCCTTCCTGTTCCAACATGACTGCGCACCAGTCCAGAAAGCATGGTCCATAAGTACATGGATGAGCGAGTCTGGTGTGGAGGAACTTGACTGGCCTGCACAGACCACTGACCTCAACCCGATAGAACACCTTTGGGATGAATTAGAGCGGAGACTGAGAGCCAGGCCTTCTCATCCAACATCAGTATCTAACTTCCTGGAAGAAGAGTCAAAAATTCCCCCTAAACACACTCCTAAACCTTGTGGACAGCCTGAGTTGAAGCTGTTATAGCTGCAAATGGTGGGCCAACTCCATATTAAAGCCTACGTATTAAGAATGGGATGTCATTAAAGTTCATGTGTGTGTAAAGGCAGGTGTCCCAATACTTTTGCCAACATAGTGTATATTTACTACAGTACTTAATGAAAATGAATGTACATGTTACTGTGGCAACCTGGGCAAACCCCCTCCCACCCCCACCTCGTGTGCCATAGCTCATCCTGGACACTCTCCTTCCCTTCATACTCCTCATAGTTTCAAAACAACACTAAGGGCAGCTTTACGTTAAGGATGCTGAGGTTCTAGAGAACAATTTAAGCAGGGAATCATTATCCATGTAAACGGACGGCTGTCAGCTGTGTGTCACATGCACAGGTGGGCGGTGGTGTGACTTCATACCCCTGCATCTCATTGGTCCGATTTGTACAGCTGCCACAATCACACTGGGACTGACCCCCACCACAAGGGTCAAGATGGTACGATCCACGCTTCACTAATGCCACAGATTGTCTCTCCTCTCCAGTCCTCATTGGAGCAGACTCTGCACACAAAGGCACAGATACGTGTGCCTTGCAAAGGGGGCGATTGGGTGTGCGCCTGTCGCTGGTGACCCTTGACCCTCTTTTGCCCTCATCCTCACCCAGTGGAGGACAAAGACGTTGTGGGAAGGAAGGAGAATGTCTAATGATTCGTGTCCCATGGGGATCCTCTATTCAGATGCTGTGTGGTTTGCGCAATGGCGCCCCCTGTGGCAGATCAGCCCCCTCACTG